TTCCACCAGAACGACGTATCTCAAACTCTCAAAGCGCTGACTAACCATGCCAAGTGGTACAAGGAAGTGCTCGGCCACCAAAGCAAGAGAGTCTCGATTGTCCACGTCCACGCCTTCTTGCTTACCGGAGTTTTTACAATTCTGCCATACACAAAAGGCCCTGATGGACGTCCTATCCTTCTTTTCCGTGGCGCCAAGGATACGCGTGCCATTCCCAAGCAACATCACGCCATCTTCACAATGTGGCACCACCTCTGGATGTTACGCGACAACGCTGACGGCAACCACCATCTCTTTGTCGACTTCCAAGGATACAAGTTCAAACACTTCCGACCAAGCGAATACAAGTTAATTAATGAGGCAGTTGCTTGCGAACCTGCTCCACCAACAAACTCGACCTTCTATGCATTGAACGCCAACAAGACGGCAGTCAGACTCTGGGATGCTATCCGCCGAATCATCAAAGACATTCCATACACGACCAGTCACTTTATCAAATCCAAGGAACTAGGCACTTTGATGGATGTTTCCAAAATGCCAGTTGATTTTGGTGGTCTCCGTTCTATGCAAGACACTCTTGCCGATATAAAGGATTTCATTCGTGATGAATATGTACGTGAAGGGTTGAGATATGAGCCAATTGACGTGAAGAGTATCAACTGGAAGACTTACAAGGTTCCCGATGTGGATCTCACTGTTCGTCCAGAGAGTGCAATGTCTGTGGCGTCAAATGTAGACTTTGACCAGATTGATGCACAGTTGGAGAAGTTGGGTTTGCAAGATTCGGAAGAATGAGTGAAAATACCAGATAAATAAATATGTTGTCATAACTACAAAATAAATTGGGGTTGTAAAGTGTGGAACTCAACTTGGCAAGAATACTGTATAAATACAGAGAAGCACCCTCTTATCAGGTTTGAAACTCAAATGGCGTTTGAACAAGCTCTTATTGTTTTGCAAGAAAGCATCAGCAGGGATGTGTTGCTTCGCGATGCCAACCTTGAGCCCCATGTTGTAGCCAAGTCTCTCGCTTTCCACCAGAACGATGTGTCCAAGACCCTGAAAGCCCTTACGCACTACGCCAATTGGCACAAAGAAATCCTCGGCCACCAAAGCAAGAGAGTCTCTATTGCGCACATCCACGCCTTCTTGCTTACTGAAATTTTCACGTTCTTGCCACATGTGAAAGGCCCTGATGGACGCCCAATCATTATTTTCCGCGGCGCCAAGGATACTCGTACCATTCCAAAGCAGCACTACGCCATCTTTAACATGTGGTACCAGCTTTGGGTTCTGCGCTCAAACCCCGACGGAAACCACCACCTCTTTCTTGACTTTGACGGATACAAATTCAAGCACTTCCGTCCAAGCGAGTACAAGATGATTAACGAAACTGTTGCTTGTCAGCCGGCTCCACCCACAAGCTCCATCCTGTACATGTGTAACGCGAGCAAGTCCGCAATCAAACTGTGGGATGTGATTCGTCGTATCTTAAAGGATATTCCTTACACAACCAGCCACTTTATCAAGCGTGAGGAACTTGCAAATTTTATGGACGCGTCGGTCGTTTCCCAACTCCCTGTCGATTTTGGTGGACTTCGTTCTGCCGAAGACACACGTGCTGACATGGAGGATTTCATTCGCGAGGAGTATGCACGTGAAGGATTGAGATATGAACCAATTGATATCAAGAGTATCAATTGGAAGACTTACAAAGTTGCTGATGTCGATCTTAGTGTTCGTCCAGAGAGTGCCATGTCTGTCGCTTCCAACGTCGACTTTGACCAGCTTGACGCACAGCTGGAGAAACTCGGTTTGGATGACTTGGAAGAGTAAATTGAATCAAGGTGTTTTGCTTTGATTTGGATAAATAAAGCGTATCCCTTCACATAAAAACTTGATGGCTTCACAGGCCTCGTTCGGACATCGCCCGTTTAGCGATGAAGACCGAGCGCGTATCTCAGCAACACTGCGCAAGGCAGTTGGGCCAGAGTATTTGTCGCAGCGGGCTGGACCCGGCGGAAGTACGTTGTTGTTAGTTTACTAAGTGGACTAGTCGTTGATGCAACCCCAGCAAAGCTTGTGTACATCTGCGGCAACCAAGTCTTGTCTTTGGCAAACGAAGTCTTTGGATTCGACGGCTGGTCGCATTCGATCGTCAGCTCCGAGATTGACTTTGTACAATAATGCCTGGACGATGACCATGTCTAATACCAAACTTGTTGTCCAAAGGTCGATACTTCTCAAGATGGAAGTCTGGTCAGTTTAGGCGTGTCGACGGTTGTTCGGGTAACTCTCAGAGATGGGACAAGTCATGAGGTTTGTTATTTGGTTTCTGCTAGGATACAGTAGGTTTGACATCAATTTAGGACATTGGATATGGAAGAATTGAGAACGCTCGATCAAAAGGGACAGCATTTGAGAAGGTGCAATATTTCTTGGATTTTAAAAACGATCCGGGTTGATTCAAAGTAGACGGCTATTTCAGGTCAAGAAAGAATCTGTAACCGATGCAATTAAACGCGCTCTAAGAAGCTTTGGGGAAGTCATGGGAAACTGTACATACAATAATGAACTCATGCAAAAGATTATCAAACTGAAGAAGAAAGCTGTACGTATTTTTTTAGGGGTTGAATCATTAACTTAGCCCATCTCTTTTGTAGGCTATTTCTGTTGACATGAATGAATTGTATCATGGGCAGAACTGTGATGCACACTCTTCGAAACCCACTAACCCAAATTCTCACAACCCTGGGCAAGCAAACGGAAACCACACGTTGCACACCAACAGTGAGTGATATTTAAAGATTTCTTTGATTGAGGTCCTAATTTTCCTCCAGATGCTCCGGCTTTTGATGATGATGGTACTTTTCAGTGAACTCTCTCTCTCTCTCCTTTAATTTCATCTGTTCAGGTGACGACGGGACAATATTTTGCGGTGATTTAGAAGCCCTGGACCCTGCCTACTTGACGTGAGTTTTTTTTAACGATTTACAGTTAAACGCTGACGGATTCCAATAAAACTTACAAGGGTCGGAATGCAAAACTCATCTTCAACCAATACAATGACAGGGAATAATCCTTTGAATCCTGGAAATACCCCAAGACAGCATCAACCAAATATGTTGGTCCAATCCCCCGCCAAAACAAATGCCATGGCGTCAATGACTGGGGTTATTCGGCCACCTCCAATTAATCGAGTGCCGACACCTGTGCTGCAACAGCAACAGCGAAATGGACCCCCAACACCCTTACAACAGCCACAGCAACAACAACAACACTTTGGTTCCACTATCGGGCGAACTGGCATTTCTCAACAACAACCACAATCATACAACAACGCAGGACAACAATCACCACATAATCAACCTGGCGGACAATCAGGGCCAATCCCCCAAGGCCAACCCACCTTCAATATGGGGAATGCGACAAACATACCTCCAAGCACCAGCAATGCCAATAACAACAAAGCAAACGCTAACGCCCTAATTGCCAAACCTTTTCCCCTGAATTCAAACAACAATACAGCAAACGTCCCCATGGTGTCGGGCTCATCAAGTGCAGTTGTTGGGGCAGCAGCGAAACCAGGACAACAACAGCAAAACCAAAACAATATTATTCTCAACAATCAAGGAGGAGTTCGGCCGCCACAACCTGTTGGAGGAAATCGAATTCAACTTCCACCACCTTCAGGGCAGAACCAGCAACCGCCACAGCCACAACATCAGCAACAGTACCAGCAACAGTACCAAAGTAATGGAGGAGCCGCATTTGCAGGAAGCACCGGAAATGCGTATAAACGCCCTCTATCGAGGTTTGAGTTTTTTTTTCAACGTTTCTGTATATATTTCGTCAAGGCCAACCTTTGGATATTTAACAGCGCGGACTCTGTGAACTCGAATCAAATTGATCATCGGGCAAAGCAGCTCTAATCACACCGGTGGTGGTAACATTGTTGGAACGGGTGGGAATTCAGGGCACAACAATTTGAATGGAGTCCCTCCAGGAGCGGCAAATCGAAATGGCGCCGTTGTTGCCGGTATTGGCAGTGAAGCTGGAGGGGTGGGAGGTGGAGGTGCGAACACTGGTGGTGGTGGTGGTGGTGGTGCTGGGTACCAGTATGCTAATAGTAACGTGAAGAAGCAGAAAATTTGAATGAAAACTGTTTGGATAATTTGCTTGGAACTCTTTGACAGAAGGGATGATGATTGTAAATTCCATTTTTAAGAAGTATTTTTCACATGTTTTTATTATTTAATTTTTTGACACCACGCGTTTTGTTTGACAAAATCAGTCGAAAACGATAAGTCCCCTCACAAACCCCCCCTCCCACATTTCGGATGATATGATATGGCATCTTCAATTGATGCTCGGCGAGGGCGCTTCCAAAGTGTACTTCGTCTGGCCGTTGGCACTTTGTTCTCGCAAAGTGTACAGGGTCTGGCTGTCAGGGCTCGATTCTCGTCGAGTTTATTCCAGCCCTCCGATTTGTTTTTTTATTTGGCCAGCCTTTAAAAGGCAGATTAGGAACTTGAGAAAGTTACTATTCTGGTGTGTGGGCTATGTTCTCGCAAAGTTTGCACATCTGAGTGAGAGGATTCAATTCTCGTTGAGTCTATCCATTCCGAAAATGACCTTCATTTCAAACTGCTTCAATGCAAAAAGCCCATAAACTAAATAGCCTTTGTTTTTTAGATTTGGATCGAGGTTGAACTGAAACACGCCAAGCAATAAAAACTGTGTAGGACAGCCACGCAAACGCGACAAAGGAATGAAAACATGTGAAGAACATTGCTTCTCTTCTTTTCTCTCCTTATTTTTCTCTTCATTTTGGATTTAATAAATTTAATTTGTTTACACGCGTTGAATCTTTTTTGGAACATCCACGTCCTTGAAATTCGATTTCTTTCTGCCTGGTCAGAGTCTTGTTTTCTCTTTCTTTCTTTTTCTTTGAAGCAAAAATTGAGAACATGATTAACATTTTCTTCCAAAAGTTACAAGGACAGATGGCCGAGCGGTCTAAGGCGCCAGCTTCAGGTGCTGGTATCTTCGGGTGCGTGGGTTCGAATCCCACTCTGTTCACGCTTATTGCACATTCGTTCGAGGTTCCAAAACGCCGGTGTTGTCCTTATCAATTGTATTTTTATCTAGTTAGTGGCTTACTTTGGATAAACACAAGGCAGAGTTAATACTTTGTGTATTTTATAAACGAAACACAAAATCTTCCATCAATCAGCCAATTTACTGATCACCGGATTGGTCATCAAACACCAGCTTTGTAATCTTTCCCACGGCAATCGTTTTACCTTTTTATGAGTGAGTATTTGTTTTGTTAATACAAGTTATGCAAAAGGTTTTTTGTACCTTCATCACGAAGAGTGAACCGACCCAATTGTGGGTAGTCTTCAAAAGTCTCTAAGCACATTGGCTGGTTCAGCTTAATACGCGCAATACATGCATCTCCTTGTTTCACAAATTGTGGTGGCTTGACACTTTTCTTTCCTGTCTTTTTGTCAATCTTGTGCAGGAGATCGGTGATTGTGATTTCATCAATGGCTGTGTGGGCGTGGCAGACAGCCTGAGAAATAACGGACAAAGGCATGAGTCAAAAAAAAAATCAAGAGGGGTGTGAGAATTGTTACCGTGTATCCCGCACACATGATACTCTTGTATTCAACAATGGCAAGTCGAGCTTCAAATGTAGTGACAGCATGCACTGGGTTTTTGAGGTTACACATGACGAATCCAGGCAAAACATCCTAACGAGAGAAAAGAAAAGAAGCCATCAATTAAACTTAGAACGAGAATGCATGAGTTTAAAGCTCCTCACTTCTTCTTCGACGTTCTTCAATCGGATACGAACGTTGTCTCCACTAATCGCGACGTTGCTTTCGTTTTCTTCCATCCAAATGGCTGAAACTTCAGCTACTTTCTGGAAGCGGCAATTGAGTCAGTTGAGAGATTTAAACAACACATCTTGCGCACTATACCTTTTGTGGCATGATCAAAACACTCTGACCCTTTCTGATTTTACCACTTTCAATCTTTCCAGTAACCACAGTTCCCATATCCTTGAACTTGTCACTGATGGGCATGAGGAGAGGACCATCGATTTTACGGTCTCCCACACTCATGTCATCGAGGAGTTCAAGGAGAGATGGTCCTTCGTACCAGTCACAAACTTCCTTCTTGATACGATCCTTCATGTTGGCTCCAGTGAAACCAGAAATTGGAAGAACGTCCAAGTCTGCCACAAGCGTGAGTTTGGGTGTGACTATTTTCCACTGACAAAAAAAAAATACATACCAGTTCCAACATTGTATCCAACACCCTTCAAGAAGGGTAAAATCTTTGTAACACATTCATCGTAACGAGCCTTGTCCCATTGCACAGTTGGGTCATCCATCTTGTTGACCACAAGAATCATTCTCTTGACACCTACAGTCTTACACAACATGGCATGCTCACGCGTCTGACCACCCTTTTCAAATCCAGTCTCAAACTCTCCCTTACGCGCACTAATCACCAACACACCCACATCGGCTTGTGCCGCTCCTTGCATCATGGATGGAACAAAGTTCTTGTGTCCAGGAGCATCGAGAATAGTGAAACGACGTTTATCAGTTTCAAAGTATCCACGTCCGTATTCAACGGTTTTTCCCTTTGCACGTTCTTCAGAGTTGAGATCAAGCGCCCATGAGAGGTACCAGGATTCACGACCTGCTTCTTTGGCTTCCTTTTCGTATTTCTCCATTGTACGTTTGTCTACCATTCCAGTCAAGAAGCTGTATAATGTTTTCTTTTTTTGTAAGTAACAGAACAGGAGAGTCTGAAGAGAGAGAGAGTCTGAATGCTTACAGAATGTGTCCTCCCATAGTTGACTTTCCAGCATCGACGTGACCAATGAAAACAATGTTCAAGTGTTCCTTCAAGGCGTCGCCTGCAGCAATTGGCGTGTCATCTACATCATCGGCAACGTCAAGAGCCGCAACAGCAGCAGTAGCAGCTACAACTGGATCCACTTTTGGGGTTGCTGCTGCTGCTGGAGCTGGATGCAGTTGCTGCGGTTTCCTTCTTTTCCGGAGTTAGCAGCTGGTTTGGCAGCAGCTTTAGATTGAGCTGGGCTTGCTGGGGCAGTTTCCTTCTTGGGGGTTTCCTTCTTGGCTTCAGGTTCCTTTTTGGCTAGAATGTATTATGAATGATGAAAATACAAGGTGGAGTTAGATACACTGACTGGATAATATGAACGCGACAAATCGAGGGCAAAGTCACGAATCCACCTTCACCCCCAACACCAACACTCAAATTCACCCACCTCCTCCAATAGAAATAGACTTTGCCTGGTCCGCCTCCAATGGAAATAGATTTAGCAGGCGCTGCGCCGCCAATTGAAATGGACTTGGCAGGTCCCGCGTTTCCTCCAATAGAAATAGACTTTGCTGGTGCAGCAGCACCGCCGCCACCAATCGAAATCGCCTTTGCTGGTCCTCCTCCGCCGATCGAGATGGATTTGGCTGGACCTGCGGGGGCAGGCGCTTTGTATGCCTGAGGAGCAGTATAAGCCTGTTGTTGCTGCGGGGCAGTGTACGCCTGCTGGTTGTAGTTTTGGTACTGGTTGTTGTTGTATTGGATTGTATCCTCGCTGCTGGTTGTTGTATCCCTGGTTGTAGCCTTGGTTGTAGTTCTGATACTGGTTGTAGTTTTGGTTCTGGCTGTATCCCTGCTGTCCGCCGTAGTAGTTTTGGTTCCCGTAGCCTCCGCCAGGCACAAACTCCTGCGCATTCGACGAAGGAACAAACTCTGTGGTTTGCGGTCGGAACGCAAAGTTGTTTTGCTGTGTGTTTTGCTGGTAATATCCCTGGTTTCCGAACTGATTCTGGTTCTGACTCTGGCTGTATTGGCCCTGCTGCCACTGCTGGCCTTGCTGCTGCTGCTGCTCTTTCTGTTCGTCGTCAGCCATTTTTTCGTTGAGTCAAAAGTCAAAGTCAAAAAAGGAAAAGCAACTTGACTCTATTCTTCGTATTCTTTCATTCTTGTTGCAAACTGCTCAACGACACCTGCGCTTCGCCTGGCTTGAAGCGAGTGCGCGACTCTTGAGTCTCGCCACGTCCTTTGGACAGCGGCCAAATTTGTCGATGGTTTGGTCAAGACGTGAGTGAACGACAAACACAAAGGAGGAGAAATGAAATTGAACGGTATTATGATGAGCTCGATTTGAAAAATGAAGGATTGGCTGTTTTCCTTTCATGCTGCAGACGGATGAAGTAAAAAGTTGTCAGCAAAACTTTGAACGGACTTCTCTGGACTTAACCTCCTTCTTGCGCTCTGAGACTTGCTTGAGACACCGCATCAGCAACTTTCACAAAATGAAGGCAACCGGATTTCGACAAAAGAGAACCGTCACTGTGAGCACAACAAGAACCGTTTCCCGTTCTGGTGTTGTGACTGTTACGACGAAAACCACAACAGAAACAAGCTTTCTTCAACCAGATCAAGTGCTCTACCCTGGAACGATAGAGGTATATGATCCAGGATGATTTTACCCATTTTTAGTTCTGATCCCCATCCAATTTGTTCCAATTAACAGTTCTCAACCCTCGCACCTGAGCTCATTGAAAACATCCTGGTCCATGTACCTCTCGACGACAACTTGATGGAAATTGCTTTGGCTTCCAAATCCCAACTGGCTTCCCTGCTCTTTACAGATTCCCTTTTTCCGTGGCATCATTTTCAAACACAACTTGATGCCGCCCCTGTCGCTAGAAATGCTCTCGAATATTTTTGCTTGCTTACTGAATCGATTCATAAGAAACTGCCCATCAGATACCAAGATCTCCTGGCCAACCTTCTCAGTAATGACACAAACGCAACACCTTACTTGAGACATACAGCTCTCCAATGGGCTTGCACAACAAACCAATACAAGCTGGTTTGTCGTCTTGTGCAAGAAAATCAAAGCATTGTCTCTCCAGAACACGACGAAAGCATATGTCTCCAACTGGCGTGTCAAAACAATCATGTAAAGATTGTTGAATTCCTTTTGGAGGACGGGAGATGTAATCCTGGTTGCGATTCTGGGTTTCCATTGCGGTCAGCTTGTAAGCATGGGTTTTTGGATGTTGTTCGGGCACTTCTTATGGATGGGCGCGCTGATCCTGCCGACAGGGACAATCTTGCTATTCGTGCTGCTTGTATGGAAGGGCACGTTAATATTGTTGAATTTATGCTGTCATTTGATGGGGTGGATCCTTCTGATGCATCGAATAGTGCGATACAGATGGCATGTCGGGGAGGGCATGAAGGAGTGGTGAAGCTCTTGCTTGCTGATCCGCGAGTTGACCCTGCCGCAAATGAAAATTCCGCTTTAATGGAAGCCATGCAAGGAGGACACTTTCAAATTGTGCAACTATTGCTGCAAGACCTGCGTGTTGACCCTGCGGCCCAACAGAATCATGCAGTGATTGGTGCCGCACACTACGGATTCACTGATATTTTCAAGCTGCTTATATCAGACCCACGCGTCGATCCTTCAGATAGAGATAATGACGCAATCAAGGCCAGTTGCACTAATGGGCATCTCGAAATTGTGCAACTTTTGCTCAAAGACAAACGTGTGGACCCAACATCTTCCAACAACATTGCCTTTGGAAAGGCGTGCGAAAAAGGCCACTTCGAAATTGTGAAACTCCTCTTGGAAGATGGGCGCACAAATCCAGGTGATGGTGATAATTATGGCTTTGCAACAGCCGCACGGTTCGGTCATTTGGACGTTATCCAGCTATTGCTTTCTGTTGAGGGTGTGGATCCGGCTGCACGTGGAAACATTTCATTTGGAGCAGCCGCTGAATTTGGGCACTTGGAGATTGTATCGCTTCTGTTGGAGGATTCTCGAGTCGACCCTACTGTTGAAAGCTCCAACAGCGCTATTATTTCTGCAAGCGGAAATGGCCACTTTGAGATTTGCAAACTCTTGCTTTCAGATCCACGTGTCACCGCCTTGCCGTTATCAATTACTTCAGCTTGTTTGAATGGTCACCTTGAAATTGTCAAGCTTCTGGTTGGCAATAACCACGTGGATCCTT